ATTTTATTTAGGTGTAGCTTGTGCAACATTTGCTGCTGTCTTTCCTCTAGGCATCCTTGGTGAAATGACATCAATTGGAACATTAGTGGCCTTCTTTCTTGTACATCTTGCTGTCATCATCGTAAGTTTATGTTATAAATTGATTGATATTAATCATGGACTATAATTTAGATGCGTTTTACACATAAAGATGTACCACGTGCCTTTCGCGTTCCTCTAGGACCTTGGGTTCTTCCTCCATTAGGTGCATTATTATGTGTTTTACTTATGGCAACTTCTTCGAAAGAAACAGGTATTCGACTTGGTGTATGGATGGCTATTGGTCAAGTTATTTATTTTGTTTATGGTTACCGAAATTCAAAATTACGAAATCCAAAACCAATTGAGTCAAATTTGGCTATGAACAATCTTACTGTACAAAAAGATGAACAACCAACATCCAATGAATCTGTCGTCGACCAAAACGATTCTAAAGTTGAAAAATTAGTCATATAATCTCCGATCTTTTCCGTCTTTTTACATAAATTTTAATTATTCATACTTTTTACTTTAAATTTTTATACTAATTTCTAAATATATATATATAAAAACCTATTCTAAGTGCTTGTCTTGCATTAGACTGAACATTGATTTACATGTAGAAAACGAAGTTAGTGAATTTTTAATGACAATTAGATACTAATAAACTTTAGTTTGTATAGATTTCGTATAGAATGTTCTGTTATAAATAATGATAAAATCTTTCAATAAAAATACTGTAAACTTAATATTTCGAAATTATTACCTTAATTTCCGAAGAAAAACACAAAATAAGTTTTTTCTTCTACCTTACAATATAAACGAAAGATCCACGAATAGAAGAAAAGATAGCGAAAGAGTTCCGGTATGTCTAGTGATTTCCTGTAGTATTTTTAACAATACTATTATTTGAGAGTACAAATATATTCATCCTATAAGTAGTGTATCGTTTATTGATAAAAATCAGAAGAATATGTTTATATATAAATAATGCATTTGAAATATTCTTTTCATTTTTGTTATCTTATTATTATTTCTTCATAAAAGTAAAACAAACGAATATATTTTACATTGAAAAAAACAAATAAATAAAACTGTAGGAGTGATTTTGATTTTATTAAATATAACCATAGAATAAAATATATAGTATAGAAAAATAAGATGATAATTCTATATTTCCATTCAAATGAAGATCATTCTAATAATGTGCATATAAAATTAATTTTTTCAGCACCCGTCTCACTTGTCGACAAAAATCGACTTTTGAAAATAAAATAGATATACGAACATAAAGATAAAATAATGTACTGTAAATAATAGTCTTATGACACACCATTCAAATTGAGAAAGACAAGAAACATATTGTACTTGTTTTGTTGCAAATAAATATAATATTGTATATTGAAATTTTTTTATTGCCTGGAATGAGATGTCACCGGTGAGATGAACAGTGCAACTCTTTATAGACGTTTTTGTTGTATGATATTTGTTGGTGAATTTAATTGTTGTATACGTTTATTAATATTCGTTGTAGATAGTGGAGATAATAATGGTGGTTTCGAATCAATTAAATTCAGATTATTTGGATTTTTATCAGAACTTGATGATTGCTGACGTTTTAATGATGTCGAAATTAATTTTTGACTAGGAACAGATCTATTAGAAACATCATTGATATGAGATTCAGGATAATGATATTGTTCATTAATCATTTCGTGATTATTGCTCTAAAAATAAGACAAAAGATATAAAGAAAATGAAATAAAATTCGGTTACGTTTGTTGATTGATTGGATTTCCGTTGTACATAGTTAATATGTGTTGAAAATTGTCCATTTTCTATAGGTAATACATCTTCATTATCATCGATATCACAACTTTTTTGTGTATGTCGAGTTAATATATCTGTTTTATTAGATAATTTATGTCTTGATCCCGTTTCAATTAACTTTTCACTAGAATTCGTTGTAATCATATCTCGAGAAGAACGATTGGATGATGATGATGGATAATGTTGATGATAGACAACAAGTTGTGGATTCGATAATGAAGAATCTGTCCAATCTAATAAACAAACTATGTGTTTAGAAAAAAAAA